TTATTTATTTATTTATTTATTTATTTTATTAAATTTTTATACCGCCCTTCTCCCGGAGGACTCAGGGCGGTGTACAGCCAGAGATAAAACCCACAACAACATAAAAGTTAAAAGACGAATTAAAAATAGTAAATAATTTGGCCGAAAAAGCTAAAATAAAGACAACCCATTAAAGTAGCATTAGGCCCACCCTGCTTGGTGAATCAATAGCGTTTTGAGGGCGCGGCGAAAGGCGCGAAGGTCGGGAATTCTACGAATCTCCGGGGGCAGCTCATTCCAGAGGGCAGGTGCCCCCACAAAGAAGGGTCTCTCCCTGGGGGTCGCCAGTCGACATTGTTTGACCGACGGCACTCTGAGGAGTCCCTCTCTGTGGGAGCATACTGGTCGATGGGAGGCTATCGGTGGCAGAAGGCGGTCTCGTAAGTACCCGGAGCCATGGAGCGCTTTAAAGGTGGTGACCAACACCTTGAATCGCACCCGGAAGACTACCGGGAGCCAGTGCAGCTTGCGCAAGGAGCGGTGTTACATGGGAGCGTCGAGTTGTTCCCATAATCACCTGCGCGGCCGCATTCTGGACCAGTTGGAGCCTCCGGGTGCTCTTCATCACCCGGAGGCTTCCCATGGTCAGGTGACTTTTTGATCACCTGACCATGGGAATGCTGCCATGGTCGTATCTATGAAAATAAATCCCTTTTTTTCAGTGCCGTTGTAATTTAGTTTAGTTTATATGATTTGTATACCACCCTACTCCCGAAGGACTCAGGGCGGTGAACAGCCACAAGATAAAAACACATAAATACAAAATTTAAAAACAGAATAAAACCGAATTAAACAATTTGGCCGAAGACAGATTTAAAAACACCCCAATAAATTAAAAACAAATTAAAATTTGAGTTTTAAAAGGGAAAAATTAGGCCAGGCCAGCCTGATGGAATAAAAAGGTTTTAAGAGCGCGGCGGAAGGTGCGTAGATCTGGGATCCTCCGTATCTCCGGGGGGAGCTCATTCCAGATAGTAGGTGCCCCCACAGAGAAGGCCCTCCCCCTGGGGGCCGCCAGTCAACATTGTTTGGCCGACGGCACCCAGAGGAGCCCCTCTCTATGGGAGCGTACTGGCCGGTGGGAGGCTATTGGTGGTAGCAGGTGGTCCCGTAGATAACCAGGTCCTAAGCCATGGAGCGCTCTAAAAGTGGTAACCAAGACCTTGAAGCACACATGGAAGACCACCGGGAGCCAGTGCAGCTCGCACAGGAGAGGTGTTACATGGGAACGCCGTGTCGCTCCCATTACCACCCGCGCGGCCGCACTCTGTGCCAGTTGGAGCCTCCGGGTGCTCCTCAAGGGGAGCCCCATGTAGAGACCGTTGCAGTAGTCCAGGCGGGAAGTGAGGAGGGCATGAGTGACTGTGCGTAACTTTGAATGGTCACTAAACGAACAGTTGTAAATTGAGGACTATCTATTTTAAAGAGATGAGATTAGCATCTTTAGCATGACAGTCTAATAAGCCTCTTTTCTCAATTCTGGAAATATTTTTCTTCTGCCAACAAGGCCATTTTTAAAAAATAAGTGGGAATTATTATTTTTTCAGCAGCCTAGTAACAGCCAGCATATTCTGAAAGTCCTTGAATACACTTGCAGATTCGCTTAAGGACCATTTTACTGACTTAACAACTGTAGTGATACACTTAACGGTAACCACTGTGGCAAGAAAGGCCATTAAATGGGGCAAATCTCACTTAACAACTGTCTCACTTAGCAACAGAAATGTTGGGCTCACTTGTGGTCGTAAATTGAGCACAACCAGTACATTGTGCAAAAAAAAAAATGGAAAGAGAAGGAAAGGTATTATTTTGATTATGATCTCAGCATATCCCTGTCTGGATGCTCGTGCTTTGCTTACGAAACTATGTGCTCGGGCTTGATAAATGGACACGTGCAGCCTGAAACTTAATGTAGAATGTGTAACTCCGTAGCATCCGAGTGTGTTAATATAATGCAACTGGCAGTTGGAACAGAGTGGGAGGTGGAGTAGAAGTCCCAGCCCGCAGCATCCATCCTGTCAGTGTGTGAGAGAGTTGAGGGGTGTTTGGAAACTCAAACAGTATTTGCTGGGTGAGCAAGAAGGAGACAGGAAGGAGGCTGGGCATGGCTTAAGATCAACTGTTCTGTAGTAAAGCTGCTTGCTGCTGTGAAAGTGAAACTGAAAGTGAAACTCCTCTCCTCTGCTTGTGTTTTGCATTTGGAACAGATTTCTTTTCAGGTGAGGAGGGGGAGTAGAACTCCTTAGCATCAGAGCATGTTAATAATAATACAGGAAATACTAATGCTCTGATGGTCATTTCAAAAAATCGTTTCTTAGTGAGCACCTATAAGCCAAGAGGAACATACGTGACAAATTTCAAGTTTGTAGGCTTTACGGCTCTGGAGATTTTGTGATTAATGTACGAGTGGTTTTCGCTTTTATATATTGTATATAGATGCCACCGACGGACTTCTCAATTCCTTGTCTTTAAAAATGTTTTGTAAGTAAACCACCAAAGGTTGGAGCAATCAGAAATTGATTTCTTATTTTTGCTAATTTCAAACCACTAAGAAATTAAGTTTAAAATGTTACCGGCATACTTTCTCGATTCCATGTCTTTAAAAATGTTTTCTAAAGCAAACTGGAGTGCAACAAACACAACCGAAGGTTGGAGCAATCAGAAATTGATTTCTTATTTTGGCTCATTTTTAATTTTGTTGTATTCAAAAACACGGTAAACATTTAAAAAAAAAAAAAAAAAGTACGTTCCTGTCTGCTCTTCCAGAGACTTCAGCCCATTGGGAGTTGAATTCTGTTTTAAATGTTTTTTTTTCCCCCTGGTGGATAACGTGGAATCAAAGACTCAGTGTGCAATTTTAAAAATGGGAATTGGAGTTTTAAAAAAATGCCTTTATTAGAACAAAGAAAGAGGAGAATCAGGGGGCAGGAAGACAAAAGGAACGTTGTCTGCTAATGTTTCACCATCCAAGGACTGTTGGATGGTGAAACATCATCCAAGGTGTTCAAGGGATGCTCCAGGCATTTGTATCCAAGGCACTTATAATTATCGGTACTATTTTTTGGCTTAGGACCGGGGTATCTACGAGACCGCCTTCTGCCACCAGTGGCCTCTCACCGACCAGTACGCTCCCATAGAGAGGGGCTTCTCAGGGTGCCGTCGGCCAAACAATGTCGACTGGCGGCCCCCAGGGGGAGAGCCTTCTCTGTGGGGGCACCCGCCATCTGGAACGAGCTCCCCCCGGAGATACGGAGGATCCCGGACCTGCGCGCTTTCCGCCGTGCCATCAAAACATTTCTTTTCCAGCAGGCCGGCCTGGCCTAACCTCTCTTTTAAACTTTTTAAAACTTTTTAAAATTCTTAAATTTTAAATTTGTCTTATGAATTGGGGTGCTTTAAATTTCGTTTTTCGGGCCAACTATTTAATTGTATTTTAATGGTTTTTTAACATTTGTATTATATGTATTTTATTTGGCTGTTCACCACCCTGAGTCCTGCGGGAGTAGGGCGGTATACAAATTCAATTAATAATAATAATAATAATAATAATAATAATAATAATAATAATAATAATAATAATAATAATAATAATAATAATAGGCACTTGGTCCACAACACACCTGACATAACAAGAGTTGAAAAGAAAAAAGGATGGTTCATTGACATTGCAATACCTGGTGATGCACGAATTGAAGATAAGCAGCAAGAAAAAATCACAAAGTACCGGGGCTTACAAATTGAAGTTGAGCGACTGTGGAAAAAGAAATCGTGTGTTGTCCCGATTGTAATTGGAGCCCTCGGAGCAATACCCAAAGGGCTACCCCGCTATTTAGAAATTCTAAATTTGCCGGACTTGAACATTTTGACTCTACAAAAAACCACCTTATACTCGGAACAGCTTACATCCTCCGACGATACCTTAACAGTTCCTAGGTCCTTGGTTAGGACTCGAGCTGCTGAGCTGTTAACCAGCCTCAAAGGCTGTGAATCTCACTAAAGATTAACCAATAAATAATAATATTTTTTGCCTTCTTTTGCTACAGACATTCTACTACTATTTAATCAAGGAGAGAAGCAACCTAGAAGGAGAAATTTCCTGACAGTTAGAACAATTACTTAGTGGAACAACTTGCCTCCAGAAGTTGTGAATGCTCCAACGCTGGAAGCTTTTAAGAAGATGTTGGACACCCATTTTTCATTTTCCAAAGATGGCCCTTTGAAGCCCCGCGGCAAGAGTTTAAACAGTTTTTTTCCCTCTAGCCATCAGCTGGGACTCAGGAGGCAGCAATAGATTGGGGGTGGGACCAAATAAAAACTAAGAATAATGCTGGGGTGGGGAGGGCCCAGGGGGCAGAGCAGGGGGGGCAGAACCAGTTCAGTGACATCATATCAATATATAGCCACCAATAGCCTCCCACCGACCAGTTCGTTCTCACAGGGAGGGACTACTCAGGGTACCGTCAGTCAAATTATGCCGACTGGCGACTCCCAGGGGGAGGGCCTTCTCTGTGGGGGCTCCAACCCTTTGGAATGAACTGCCCCCGGAGATACGGAATATCCCTGATCTCCGTGCTTTCCGCCGTGCCCTCAAGACCCTGATGTTCCAACAGGCGGGGCTAAACATATGAACATGTGAATGCTTTTTAAAATGTTATCTAATTTTAGGTTCTATTTAATTGGGCCAAACTATGTTATAATAATAATTTTAATTAGCAATTTTATGATGTTTGTGTATCTATATTTTTTCCTGACTGTACACCGCCTTGAGTCCTACGGGAGAAAGGCGGTATAGAAATATAATAAATAAACAAACAAACAAACAAACAAACAAACAAACAAACAAACAAACAAATAAATAAATAAATAAATAAATAAATAAATATCGTCACCACTACCGGCTTGGCCGAACCGGGCCGAACCGGGAGGAACCCACCACTTCATACACGTTAAGCCACAAGCGATTCAGGTCGTAAAACTGCACCAGTGTTAAAAGATTTTATTTATTTTTTTAAATTGAAATTAAGGCAATAGATTCCGTATCCTGAGGTAGAAAGAGAGTGTGAGAGATCTCACAGAGAGTGCCTTTTTTTTTGGGTGGAGGGTTCTTATTTATTAGCTTTCTAGAGTTTTCCGCGGGATCCCAACTCAAAACGGCCGTAAGCCGCTCTGCCTCCAGACAGAATGCGAGGACAAGATTTTGGAGACCCACTTGGGGCAGTCGGTCAAGGTCAGCAAATGGTTCCTGGGCGCCAAGTCTTTGCCAAACAGGAAGAACAAGGCGTTCGAAAACGCCAGGCCGATGATGATGGCCACCAGCACCCACGTCCCTCTGGATAGGAGGAAGAAGAAGCTCTTGTGAAGGCCTCGGGAGTCCTGGGTCAACTTGGCCTGCACCAACTCTTGGAGCAGAGAAGGACCTTCCTGGCCGTAGTCCGTCTCCAACCTGCTGAAGGGGGACTGTGCCAGCTGCTCTTCCAAAGACAGGACTTGGTTTTCCAGCGCCTTGCAGATCTCTTCGAGCTCCGCCACCGTGTGCGACAGCTCGGCGCACTGCTTCTTCTCGGCCTCGTATTGGCGCCTGGCGGTTTCGATTTTCGCCTCCAGCTGTTTGAAGTAGCCCACGATGTGCTCCATCACTTGCTTGATACGCAGCATGCCTTGGTCCCGGCTGGCTTTGGACTCCTGAAATTTGACCAGCTGGTTGGAGACCTTCTGGATTTTGGAGCAGAGAACCCTGTTGGTCTCTGCCAAGGTTTGGTTTTGGACCTGCAGGGCCACCCGTGTGTCTTCCCGTTCTCGGAGCATCTCCTGCAGTTCTTCCTCTTCTTTTTCCAGGTCCTCGATGATGGTTTTGAAACAGTTGACTTTCTCCTCCAGGCTCTTGTTCTCCTCGTTCATGTGCTTCGTCTCCTTCGCGATCTCCTGGTTTTCGAGGTCGAGGTTGGCCGCTTTGTCTCGTAGGTCCCAGATCTCCCTCTTTAACGCTTCCTGGATGTCCATCAGGTGGGACGCTTCAGATTTCTCCATGGGGTAGGTGGGGGAGTTGGGTGAAAGAAGGTCTCGAATTCAGCGCCACTCCTCTTGAGTTCACTGCTGAGGAACAAGCAAAGGGAGAATAAAACCGGGATCAAGCATCATATTCTTAGCATATCCCACCTGCTATTGAATATTTTCATATGGACAGTCATGGTAGCCGTCAAGTTTCCGAAAGATGCCCTAATTAATTCATGAGCCATGATCCAAACTTCAAAAGAAATATATTCATTTATTAGGAGCAACATTCCGGCAATACTCAGATGCAGTTAGGACTGATCCTCCGTAGATTTACGTTCCCCTATGACCCTGTCTCTCCCCTCCTCTCTGGCCATGTCATAAATCACATTCTCCAATTAACCACTTTGGCTGGCTGTGAAACCTAACACCCTCCTTCTGATTGCGGTCAGGAAGAATGTATGGAATTCACTTCAGTTCTCCCTCCCTCCTGCTCATGGCAACTTGAAAGCTTTGCAAGTTGACAGTAGGTTTTTAAAAGATGAACAGAGTCGGAAGGGACCTTGTAGGTCATCTAGTCCAACCCCCCACCCCACCCCAAGCAGGAGACCCTACACCATTTCTGACAGATGGCAGTCCAGTCTCTTCTTGAAAGCCTCCAGGGATGAAGCTCCCACAACTTCCGAAGGCAACTTCTGTTCCATGGGTTGATGGTTCTCACTGTCTGAAAATTTCTCCTTATTTCTAGGTGAAATCTCTCCTTGATCATTTTCCATCCATTATTCCTTGTCTGGCCTTCGGGTGCTTTGGAAAATAGCTTGACCCCTTTCTTCTCTGTGGCAGCTCCTCAAATATTGGAAAACTGCTATCATGTCTGCCCTGGTCCTTCTCTTCACTAGACTAGCCGTGCCCAGTTCCTGCAACCATTCTTTGCATGTTTTAGTCTCCAGTCCCCTAATCATCCTGGTTGCTCTTGTCTGCACTCTTTCTAGAGTCTCAAACTCTTTTTTTATAGCGTGGTGACCAAAACTGGATGCAGTACTCTAGGTGTGGTCTTACTAAGGCTTTACGGAGTGGTATTAGTACCTCACTGGATTTTGATTGTGTCCCTCTGTTAATGAATTTAATATCTCCCTGGATTAAGCTGGTTCAGGGATGGGAGACCACTAGAAAAGACATACACACCCCCAATCCCAGCAGGAGAAATTTAATTTAGACCATGCTATATATCTAACCAAAATTGTGAATGGTATGTGAGAATGACCTTGGGAAAGTGGAGGAAGAGCCTCAAACTAGCCAATGGTGGCACAACCAAGAGATGGATCTGTGGAAGGAATGGGAGTGTTGCAAATCTCTCAGAAGGGACCCTCCCTAGTTTCTTAGGCTGTAAAGGTGAGGGGGGAGAGATGTCCTTTCAGACTTGCGACTTCTGGTTGACGTCACAGCAATATCAGACACAGGGAACGAATCTCCGTGTTCCCTGTGCTGACCTCCCCCTGCTGGTGGGCTCCAAGAAGAGCCAAAGCTACCCTGTAGGGGCGGTGAAGCAAAGAGGGGCACCCTGTGAGGTTGAGGAGAGACGCAGCTCTCCTGTCTGACCCGGGGTTTTACTTTCCCTCTCAGCCATGGCAAGAAGAGGCAGCCTATAGATGGCTGCTACAAAGCTGGGACAACCGAAGAACAACAACTAAGACTAGTTCTGGAGCGGTAGGTGAACAGTGACTGGAACTAATAATGTTATATTATCTATTAATATATATACTATTATTTTCCCTATATATATATAGGGAATATATATATATTCCCTATATATATAATTCCCTATATATATATAATAATATATATACTATTATTATTTGCATTTTTCCATTTTATTAATATATTTTCTCATTATCCATCATCTCTTAACCTTTTTAAAATTCCATCATTTATTGACTTTTTAGTCAGCCTTTTATCTCTCTCTCTCTTGGAATCTTGTATCTTTTTTTGATATTTTTGTGCCTACTGCACATTCCGTTCTGGCTACCCTTTGTCTCTTTCTGCTGTAGTATTTGAACACCCATAAACAAGACTTCCTTTTTTAAAAAAAAATTTTTTTCCTCTTTTTTCTTCTTTTTTTTGAAAAGATTTTTCTCTTTTCTCTCTGTTCTATTATAAGATTTTGAGGGCAAGTACCTGTCAAGTTTCATGGTCGTCTCGAATAAAATGCATTTCAAACAAAATCTTTGAAGAAAAAACTCCTTTTTATTGAGCACGACATCCTAACCTGAGTCCAAACGAAGCCAACACTGATATCCAGCCCCCAAACCCTCCCTTTCCGTTCCCCACTCCCCTGCACTCATTGGCCATCTTCCAAATCATTCTCCCCATATCTACTACTTAAGCTCCCAGGAATGTCCCCCCTCCCATCTTATCTCCTAGGGGATATTATCTTCAAGGAAAATAAGTAGGTGAGAAGTCAAACGTCCTCTTGCCAGCTGCCCCCTCTTCTCCTTCGTATGTCAGCACTAGAGTAAATGCAGATTGAAGTGCTGACGGTACCCTTTCTAGGGATCCTCCTAACCTTTGATACCATGACTTTGGAGGTCTTCTAGTCCAGCCCCCTGTTCAAGCAGGAGACCCTAAACCATTTCAGACAAGTGGCTGTCCAGTCTTTTCTTAAAAACCTCCAGTGATGAAGTACCCACCACTTCTGGAGGCAAGATGTTCCACTGGTTAATTGTTCTCACTGTTAGGAAGTTTCTCCTTAGTTCTAAGTTGCTTCTCTCCTTGATTAATTTCCATCCATTGCTTCTTGTCCTGCCCTCAGGTGCTTTGGAGAATAGCTTGACCCCCTCCTCTTCTTTGTGGCAGCCCCTCAAATACTGTAACACTGCTATCAGGTCCCCTCTAGTCCTTCTTTTCTTTATACTAACCAAACCCAAATCCTGCAACCATTCTTCATATATTTTCGTCTCTAGGCCTTTAATCATCTTCGTTGCTCTTCTTTGCACTTTTTCCAAAGTTTCAACATCTTTTTTGTAATGTGGGGACCAAAAAAGGGATGCTGTATTCCAGGTGTGGCCTTACTAAGGGCTTTATAAAGTGGTAGTAAGCCTTCACGTGATTTTGATTCTATGCCTCTGTTTATACCACCAAGGATTGTTTTGGCTTTTTTGGCTGCCGCCACACACGGCTGGCTCATGTTTAAGTGATCGTCTACTAGGACTCCAAGATCCCTTTCACAGTTACTGTTTTTGAGCCAGGTTTCACCTAATCTGTACTTGTACCATTGGTTTTTCCCTGCCCTAAGTGTAAAACCTTGCTTTTTTTCCACATTATATTTCTTTTTGTTGGATAGGGCCCATTGATCAAGAGTAAACGAAGTTAAATCAACACATTATTCTGAATTGGGTGAGTGGGGCGGTGGCCTGGACGTGGAGCTCTCGCCTCACAATCAGGAGTCTGTGAGTTCGATCCTAGGTAGAGGCAGATATTTCTCTCTCTGGGCCACAATGAGAATATATCTGCTGAACAAAACTCTGCACTGGCGACAGGAAAGGCATCTGGCCAGTAAACACTCAGCTCCGTTCAGTTGTCCAGACTCCATCCTGCAAGGGATTAAAGGTAAAGGTTCCCCTCGCACATATGTGCTAGTTGTTCCGGACTCTAGGGGGCGGTGCTCATCTCTGTTTCAAAGCCGAAGAGCCAGCGCTGTCCGAAGACGTCTCTGTGGTCATGTGACCGGCATGACTAAATTCCAAAGGAGCATGGAACACTGTTACCTTCCCACCAAAGCTGGTCCCTGTATTTCTACTTGCATTTTTTACCTGCTTTCGAACTGCTAGGTTGGCAGAAGCTGGGACAAGTAACGGGAGCTCACCCTGTGATGCGGCACTAGGGACTCGAACCGCTGAACTGCTTTCGATCAACAAGCTCAGCGTCTTAGCCACCGAGCCACCGCAAGGGATTATTGGGTTGTTAAAAGATGATGATGATGATGATTCTGAATTGAGTCAAAGCATCATCCAAAGTTCTGGATGAGATGCTTGTTTATTGGGAGATCAGAGAAACCATCATTCGGCCTACTCACCGAAGGATCCTCAATATCCACGTGAGAAATGGCCTCTCCCAAACAGCCCAGCATCAACCAGAGCTGAGTCCAAGCCCAACTGTCAGAAACTGCATCACAGTTGATGTCACAATCCACGATCTCCAGCCAATCAGGGCCTTTCGTGGGCCGCCTCCTTCCCAGAGGCTCTATCGCACAAAGGAAACACACACTCACACTCAAGCAGTGGAAAGGAGCCTTTTAGTGCAAAGTCTGTAACGATCAGAAGTCACATGCTAAAGACTACGTGGGATGGGGTGATTGATTGATTGATTGGCATTTGGAGACCACCCATTGAAAGATGGCTTACAATTGAAAATGTAAGAGGAAAATCCGCAACGTTGAGCCAAAATAAAAAGAACCACACACTCCAGAAAACGTACAGCATTTATTAGATTTTTTTTTAAATCCCTCCTTTATTATTTTATAAGTAACCAAAAGCGGTGAACATGCCTAATATTCCTTCTTCCTCTTATTTTACCAATAACAACAACAATGGAAGGATTGCCAGCGAGGAAGAACAGGCTCAGGACGACCGATAAGATGGGGAAAGAGAGGACAGGCAGTGGAACAGAGGAGTTACGGAGCTCTGGTGACGAGCAAGGACCGCCCCCTCCTGATCCCCAAACATGGAGAGTGGAGAGGAGGCGGGAGCAGCACAGGCTGACCTGACAACTCGGGAGGAAAGCGCCCCGCCCCTCTTCACAAGACTCACTTGGAGACTGAGACTTAAGGAGACGCTGTTGGGAGGGGTGCTTGTCGGGAACAAATGCTGAATTCTTGGAGCCTTGAGTGCCATTGCCGATGTCTGGAGTTTGCTGTGCTTCGTTTTGTGTGCCTTGCCCGGTTTGCCTGCCTCACTGGACTTCTTGCCTTGTTTGCCACTTTGCTAACTTTATTTGCTGGACTACTCGCAGCCAGAGTCTGTCGGAGGTGCGTGTGGGAGCTTCTGCTCCAGGAAATGGGATATTTGGGGGAAAGTTGGAGCAATAAAAGGGGAGTTTGAACTGTTCTCTGGCTGTGTTTCTTCCATGCCTCGCCCCGGATCATCACAAGGTCCGTTTATGGATGAGCAGAATCACAGCATGCAATTCTGGGACAGCTGACAAATTAGCTTGATGAGTGCAAGGATTTTTATACAGTTTCTGAGATGCTTCAGGGGGGTTGTGCAATGCAATGAGCTCTGTGTCTTTTGCTATTCTGATGGGGGGGGGGTTAATCCTATCATGTCCTGTTCTTAGAATTTGGGTGGAGCAGGATATTTTATTGTACATTTTAATCCCACGGCTGGAGGTAAAAAGTGTTGTGTTTGTGAATAGGTTGGCCTGGATTTCTTAATGGGCACAAAATCTACATCTCTAAGGACTTTGGGCATCTGCTGAAAGGCTATTAAGAAAGACTGGGGGCTGCTTTCTGCCTCTAAGAACATGTTTCTCCATTTACCTTTTGGTGGAATATTTAGAATAGAAAACTGAGTTGAAAGGGACCTTGGAGGTCTTCCAGTCCAACCCCCTGTTTAGGCAGGAAACCCTATGCCACTTCAGACAAATGGTTATCTAATCTGTAAAAGCGTTGCGACTTCAATTATGCAGGAATGGTGGTTATCTTGGCTTTTTTTCACTCTGCCCCCAGTTAGATGGAGTGGGGGTGGGGTCTCTGGGCTGCTATTTGCCTCCCCCCATGCGTTCTGCCCCAGCCACGGACCCCAAAGAACGCAGCACACACAAAGTCCATTCAAACTGTTGGCTGAAAAAACGTAATCTGCTAGGCTGTTGTCTTGAGCTCCGAGCTTGGCACTTTGGTTGCAAACATTTCGTCACCGTTCGAGGAGACGTCGTCAGTGCGTTTTGAACTGTGCTCGTCATTTGGATGAGAAAAATTCAGAACGCACTGACGACGTCTCCTCGAAAGGTGACGAAACATTTGCAACCAAAGTGCCAAGCACAGAGCTCAAACCAACAGCCTAACTACCAACCCGAGCTACTAATATTGACACACATTTCAAACCTAGTCTGCATTTGCAAACGGGACCAATTGTTTGCTGAGTTAGAATACCCAAAACATTGACCATAATAAACCTGGATAACTTGCGGTGCCCATGGTGGGCAAACCCAGTCTAGCTTAGTGCAGTGTGTGAACTCAAGCACAGAGGGCAGTCGTCTCAGGCAATCCTGGTAGCGAAGGCCTCCCATCCTGGACACGTCCTCTTCCTGCCCAATCACTGTCCTGATGTTTGAGAAAAGGCCGAGTCTCGCCAACAGCCGGCTGCCATCTTGGTCTTTGCCTTAGGCAGCCCTGCAGGGTGTGGGGGTCTCCCCTGAAGCTGGAACCCCAAACCATTTCTGTGGAGAACTGCACCCCCCTCCAGGGGTGGGCTTCAAAAATTTTAGCAAGGGTTTCTCTGCCCGGTTGCTGTGTGGACGTGGCCATGGTCAGTCTCCTGCACCACGGCAGGGGGGGTGTTTTTGCCCTCCCCGGGCTCCAGAGGCTTTTCTTGGGAGGGCGAAAACAGCCTCCCCAGGCTCCGGAGGCCCTCTGGAGGCCAGAAACAGGCCTGTTTCTGTCTTTCCCGAACTTCCTGTAGGCCCTGTTTTCACCCTCCCCGAGTGTGTCGTGCACTTACCTGCATCCAAAATGGGCCGCGTGGGGACTCCTGGGAGGGGCAGGGTGGGGTGGGGCGGGGCCAGCCAGGAGTGGGATTTGGGGGTTCTCAATAGGTTCTCTCTTTGCTAGAGGTTCTCCCGAACCCCTGCGAACTCCCAGCAGCCCACCCCCTGCCTCCCCCCCCCAGAGGAGAAGGGTGGACACGTCCAACACAATTCGCCTTCTTTTTATTATTGCTTTTCCTTGGAGGTGACTTCTCGTGGGGTCTCCCCTTCTTTCTTCTTCCCCGTTTTTTTGGGGGCAGAAGGGGTTTTCTTCGGGCGCGTCTGGTGGCCTTTCTCCACGCCGTTTTGGTCCTCAAAGAGAGCCACTTCCTGGGACAGCTTCCGCAACTCCTTGTTGAGCTGGTTGTTGGAGTCGATCAAAGCGAACTTCAGGACTTCCAGCTGGTTGAGCTTCTGGTAGGCGTCCTCGGCTCGTTCTCGCATCGCTTTGACTTTGCCTTGCATTTCCTCCATGGCATTCTTGAAACTTTCGACCGTGTCCTGCAAACTCTGGCTCATGGTCGGGATTTCGTCTGGGCTCCTGGGCTCCGCGTTCAGATTCGCCGCTAAAGGTCGCTAGAAATTGTCTTTTATTTTCTTCTTCTGGGGAGCTCCTACGGGCTGTGGGGTTTGGAGAGACGATTTGTAGAGGCTGCTGACAAGCTGCAGGGGGACACAAATAGGACACTGACACACATACGCACCCACAGAGGCATGGAATCTACCGCTACTAAACTACACAAATATCTTCGTACACCTGTAACTGCAGTCCGTAAGTTTGAATCCTCTCTTAGCCATGGAAGCCAACGAGGGTAGGGGTGGGATAATTTAACAACAAGTTCTCTGCCCTAATGACCGGCTGTGTGGGCGTGGCCTATGGTGGGCGTGGCCCAGGGGTGTGACAGGTAGCACTCCGCCTCTGATGATGGCGCGGCTCAGCCGGGATCGTCAGAGGCTTTTAAAAGCATTTTTTTTTCTACAACCTCTTCGGCTTTTTTTTCTTTTAAAAGCCTCTGCCGATCAGGCAACTCAGCTGGGATGGTCAGAGGCTTTTAAAAGCATTTTTTTTGGCCGAAGAGGTTGTAGAAAAAAATGGTTTTAAAAGTAAAAAAAAAAAAAAAAAGTTGGCCACACCCACCCAGTCACATTAACCCCACCCCCCCATCAAGCCACGCCCACAGAACCGGTAGTAACAAATTTTAGATTTCACCACTGCTTTAGATCGGGCGTCCTCCTTCGTCCCTAGGAAGAAGGCGGCATGGACAAAGGACATCTGAAATGTTGCCGTTGTGTGAATCAACTTCCCTGGCTTCCCTGACTACAGGTAGTCCTCGACTTACGACAGTTCATTTAGTGACCGAGGTTATAACGGCAACTGAAAAAAAGGGACATATGGCGAACCCAAAAGGTGCTTTTTCAAGAGGCAACTGGACTCGCTTCCCAAAAAGCATCTTGAAAAAGCACCTTTGACCTGAATGACCGAGAATCTCCATAGACATTTGACTTATGACTGTTTTTCACACTTATGACCGTTGGAGCCTCCCGGTGGTCACGGGATGAAAATTCGGATGCTTGACAACGGGTTCATATTTATGACGGTTGCAGCATCCTGAGGTCCCGTGATCCATTTTTGCGACCTTCTGACAATGGGCAACCCGGATTCACTTAACAACCATATTACTAACTTAACAACTGCAGGGAATTCACTTAACAACTGCGGCAAGAAAATGGGACAAAATGTAATTTCTCACTTAGCAGCATAAATTCTGGGCTCAGTTGGGGTCGTAAATTGAGGGCTACCTGTAGATATATCCCTGCCTGGGGTCGTTGCCATGGTATTCAAATGCTGCCCACTTTCACAAAAAGCCAAACACAGGCCTAGTTTGCTTCCCGATAGTCTGTTCGTTGTTGCTGTTAGTATATTTTTTGGGTGCTTGTTGTCACCTGGGATCAGACCAGGGGTGAAATCCAGCAGGTTCTGACAGATTCTGGAGAACCGGTTGCAGAAATTTTGAGCAGTTTGAAGAACCGGCAAATATCACCTCTGGCTGGTCCCAGAGTGGAGTGGGAATGGAGATTTTGCAATATCCTTCCCCTGGAGTGGGGTGGGAAATGGAGATTTTGCAGTATCGTTCCTCTGGAGTGGGATGGGAATGGAGATTTTGCAATATCCTTCCCCTGGAGTGGGGTGGGAATGGAGATTATGCAGTACTTCCTCTGGAGTGGGGTGAGAAGGGAGATTTTGCAATATCCTTCCCCTGGAGTGGGGTGGGAATGGAGATTTTGCAGTATCCTTCCTCTGGAGTGGGGTGGGAATGGAGATTTTGCAATATCCTTCCCCTGGAGTGGGGTGGGAATGGAGATTTTGCAGTATCCTTCCTCTGGAGTGGGGTGGGAATGGAGATTTTGCTGTATCCTTCCTCTGGAGTGGGGTGGGAAT